TGTCTGACCGCGGAGTTGCCCTGCCCCCAGCCCTATGGTGATCAGGCCACTTTCGCCTGCTGCATCCTCGCAGCTGTGGGTTCTGGGATACCCTGAGCAAAGATATTCGCGCCATTTTCGCTTGAGTCATCCTCGCAACGCTAACCTCAGATACTCCCTGCCCCAAATTTTGCTGGCCAGTTCCACCCAGACAAACTCGCAGCGTTGACCTGGGATGTGCCCTGCCTTGAAGTAGTCTGACCCCGGATCTGCCGCGAGATACGGTGTTCAGGCCACTTTCGCCTGATACGCCCTCGCACCTCTAACTTCGATGATGCCCTACCCCATGGCGGTCCGGCCACTTTCGCTTGCGACATCCTCGCAACAGTGGATTCCGAGACGTCTAAAGCTGACCTGTTCAAGCCACTTTCGCATGAGACATCCTCGTAACCCTCGGTTCTGAGATACCCTGAGCTGAATGCTCAGGCCGCTTTCGCCTTGAACATCCCAAGAGATCTGATCTCGGATATGCCCTGCCCCACGTTGGTTCGGCCACTGTCGCCTGAGACCCTCACAGGGCCTACACTACCACGCAGGTCATCGTATGCAACGGAAGAAGCTCGGACCCCTGCGGAACTCCGTCCGCACTAGAGCCAATCACAAAACTCACGCTGATCAGGGAGAGCCGCCCCAGAGCCGTCGCCGTAGTCGTCGCGGCGGGAACCTGACAGCCGGCCGGTAAACCGATAAACCGATAAACCGGTAAACCGGTAAACCGATATGCGGCGCAAGGATCGACTCTTCAGGGTTGCCCCCAGCGGTTTCAGACCAGCCAGTCACCCGATGAGCCGATAAACCGATAAACCGACGAAGAGAAGGAGAGCGCGCTGGCCATCGTCTCTATGATCGGTTTATCAACCGATACACCGATATAACTTAATCATATCGGTTTATCGGTCGATTTGCCGATAAACCGGCCAACCGTTGTTTTATCGGTTTATCGGTTTATCGGTCGGATGGATTCCCGGAGGCCGTTGCCGCTGCACTCTCTCTCTCTATATATATATATACAAACATACAAAGCATACGTACATCATTTATATAGTTGGATATATCCACCGCCCGCTGAGGGCCCAGCACGACGCTTCCGTGGGTGGTGGACATGGATATGGATGTATTCCCGCCTCGCATTTCTGGGGCCTCTGGGGGCTTTGGGGACTTCGAGGGATCCGCTGGAGACCTCTGCAGGCATCTGGGCGACGGTGGTCGTCCGCAGAGGGAGAAATCACCATCCCTTCCAGGTCGGGAGTCGCTGTTCTAGCTAGGCCTCCCAGATGGGGTCGGAGGAGATGGGGTCGGAGGATTGCGCCGCATCCCCGATGCATCGGCGACGCGGCTCGATGCGGAAGCCGATTTTCTCCACGCCGACGTCGTCGATGCATCGCAGGCGTCGCTGGTGCATCGCCAATGCATCGGCGATGCATTGGCGATGCGGCGCGATCGTCCGACCCCATCTACTCGGACCCCATCTGGGAGGCCCCTAGCTGTCTCACTTGGTGTGTCATCCTTGCTGCTGCTGCTGCTTCCCTCCCTATGGCGCCCGTCCGTCTCTGGTGGGCCCTGGTTCTTCTGCTTGTGGGAGTGACGCTCGGAAGAGGAGGAGGTAGTGGAGGAGGAGCTGGAGGAGAAGAGGGAGGATGAGGAGGAGGAGGAGGATGATGATGAGGAGGAGGAGGAGGAGGAGGAGGAGGAGGAGGAGGAGGAGGAGGAAGACAACTTCTGCCCCTGCCCCCCCCGCCGAGGCGGACAAGAAGAGCGCCAGCAAGGATGACTCCAGCGACAGCAGCGCCGAATCCGACGGCAAGCCCGACGGTAAGAAGGCCGAGCCCGACGGCAAGAAGGCCGAGCCCGACGGCAAGAGGGACCGCAGCCGCTCCCGGGACCGCCGCTCACGGGACCGCAGGGAGCGCAGCGGCAGTGACCGCAAGCGCAGAGACCGGGACGACGACAGGGACCGCAAGGGCCGGGGCGACGACCGGGACCGCAAGGGCCGGGACGACGACCGAGACCGCAGAGACCGGGACGACGACCGGGACCGCAGAGACCGGGACGACGACCGGGACCGCAAGGGCCGGGACGACGACCGGGACCGCAAGGGCCGGGACGACGACCGGGACCGCAAGGGCCGGGACGACGACCGGGACCGCAAGGGCCGGGACGACGACAGGGACCGCAGAGACCGGGATGACGGTCGTGACCGTAGAGATCGGGATGACGACCGGGACCGGCGCGACAGGGAGCGCCGCGACCGCAGCGGCGACCGGCGTGACCGGGACCGCAGCAGGGACCGCAGCAGGAGGAAGAGCGCCGACCGCGGCAAGGACCGCAGCAGGGACCGCAGCAGGAGGAAGAGCGCCGACCGCGGCAAGGACCGCAGCAGGGACCGCAGCAGGAGGAAGAGCGCCGACCGCGGCAAGGACCGCAGCAGGGACCGCAGCAGGAGGAAGAGCGCCGAGCGAGGCAAGGACCGCGACGGCGACCGCAGGGACCGCGACCGCCGCGACGACAACCGGGACGAGCGAGATCGCCGTGACCGTGACCGCCGTGATGAGCGGGACCGCGACGACAGGGGCGGCGATCGCCGCTCCAGGGACCGCGACCGCCCTGTTCGGGAAGACCGGCGGGATCGCGACGACCGTGACCGCCGCTCCCGAGACCGCGGGGGAGACCGCGAACGCCGGGACCGCGACGGGCGCTCCCGAGACCGTTCCCGAGACCGCGGGGGTGACCGGGGCAAAGCGTCCGACAGGGACCGCGACCGCGACCAGGACCGCGGCGAGAAGGACTTCGGGAGACGCCAACGACGCAGGCCCCCGTCGCAATGTTTTATTCAGAGGTCTCGACCCATTTCCCGGGACCGGTTTTTTGTCCTGAGTCATGGCGCCCAGAGACCGAAAGTAGGGAAAGCCTCCCGTCATGATTGTTCCATGACCCGAGGTTGTCTGCGGATGCGCCCTGGATCGACCAGCCTACTCATGGGTTATGATGCTCCAGCCTCGAGGCCCCCAGAGAGAGTTCCGAGCACCAAGAAATTGCCGAAACTGGGGGGTCTTCACGTGCCGAGCCCTGGGGGGCGACACTTTTTCGACACTGTCTCGACACCTTTCGACACGGTCGATCCCAGAAGTAATTTCGAGCACCCTTCTGGGTGCTCGAGATCACTGTTGGGAGTCTGGCCCTGCAGTGTGATGGGGGCAACTCGGCTCCTGGGCCCAGCGTCGCTCCCGGGGCCAGGGCGTGCCCGTCCAGCACCGCTGGCGTCGCGCTGGGGAGGGCAGGCGAGCAGGGGGGGCGGCCTTCCCCGAGATCCGACGCCTCAGCAAAGACATCGGGACGCCGTGAGAAATCGAGCCGGGAGCCCGAGACTCGAGTCGGGCCTGTCCCTCCACAGGAGGAAACCTCAAAAGTAGTCACAAAATAGTGGGTTCTTGACATTTCTTGGGTACCTTTTGACTATTTTTCATTTTCGTCCAAGATCCGCCTGTAGGGGGACAGGCCCGACCTAACCCTAGAACCTATCTTTCTGCGCCATTTTTCGAGCCAGATCGACCTGTGAGGGTCCCGAGGCCCCTCCTCACAGGGCGCCTCGCTCCTCCGAGGCTCGCCTGCTGCCTCGGGCGCATTTATGCCCCGCAGGGTCGCCTCGGAGGGGCAGCACCCCGTCAAGGAGCCCCCTCCCCTTCGGGGGTTACCCCTGGCCCCAGGTGCCGGCGCGAAGGGGGGCGGCCTTTCTCCTCACCGGACGCCTCGCTTCTCCGAGGCTCGCCTGCCGTCTCGGGTGTATTGTTCCCCCGCAGGTCGCCTCGGAGGGGCAGCACCCCGTCGAGGAGCCCCCCCCCTCCCCTTCGGGGGTTTTGCCCCTGGCCTCCCAGGTGTCCCCACCTCGATCTCCTTATTGGAGTTGGGTCGGGCCTGTCCCTCTACTACGGGAGGAAAATTTAAAAGTAAAAAATAGTCTGGGAACGACTTTTTGAGACATTTTTTTGTATTTGTTTGACTATTTTATTGTTTTTGATTTTTTTTGAATCGACTGGGGCTGCACTGGCGGTCTCGCATCGGCGCAGCAAGGCGCGGGCATGCGTTTTCGAGGCGGTATATTTTGAAATTCCTCGGAGGACGTTTTTGCAAGACAATTATTATTGTTGGACCCCTTATAGGCGCCCTGGCGCTCTCGCCGAGGCGCCGGCTGCAGTTTCATTGAAAATGAGGCTCACGCTCGAGCGGTTTGGGGGACAGCCAAAACCGGCCCCCACCAACAACAACAACAAGAACGCTTCCGTTCGAGATTGCCTCCTTTATAACTCAGGGCCGGTGCTGTTGTTCGCCGCCGAAAGCAGCCGTCTCAACAAACCAGCGCTCCCGCTCGAGACTTCCTCCTGTTGTACCCTGGACAGGCGCGCTACTCTTTCTCTCATCGGCGCCGCCCCCCAGCAACAACAACGCTCCCGCTCGAGACTTCCTTTTTTACTCAGGGCTGGTGCTCTTGCTTGCCGCCGACAGCCGCCGTCCCGACAAAACCAGCGCTCCCGCCCGAGACTTCCTCCCGTTTTACGCTGGGTGCTCTCTTTTGAATATGCGCCGCTCCCAGCAAGAACAACGTTCCCGCTCGAGACTTCCTTTGTTTTTCCCCCAGGACGGTGGTGTTCCACGCCGCTGACAGCCCCTGTCACGACAAAACCACTGCTCCCACTCGAGACTTCCTCCCTCAAGGCGGTTTTCCTCCTCGCCGCCGACAACCGCCGTCCCAACAAAACCAGTGTTCCCGCTCGAGACCTCGTTTCGTATAGCGCTGGACTAGCGCCCTACTCTCTTCAGCATTGGCGCCGCTCCCAGCAACAACAGCGGCCCTGCTCGAGATTTCGTTCCTTTCTATTCAGGGCCAGGTCCTTAACTCGCCGCTGACAGCCCCCATCCCCACCAAGGCAATCCTGTACCTCGATACTTCCTTGTGCTTTACCCTT